CAGCACACATGAACTTGGAACACCCATCAGGCAGTTAATTACAAGACAAGTAGCACATGGCTTTTCCAATACTCTTTTATCCAGGAACATTTAAATAAGGTTGTGGATACACCGAGTCTCACGTGTACCGTTGCCATTGTAAGCAATTTGAATACAAGCCAACCACTCCATTCCATAAATATTACAGCCTAAGTGAGCCTTCTCTGAGCTCTCCCTGCTAAGCAGTCTAACTGCAGGGTGACAATCTTCCCTTGAGCTGGCTCAGCTCTCAAGACTGCTCCTCAAGGCAGAGAACTTTTACCAACAGCAAACCTTTGGATGAGCCCAACTGGACTTCAGCTCAAACTGCAGCTGGACTGCACAGCAGGTAACTCACCCCTGGAGCAGGGATGCCTCTCAAGGTTTTGGATTTCTTACCTAAGAGAGCCTTCCTTAACCAAGGCAGAGAGGCCCTTTGCTTGCAACAAATCCTTGGTAAGTAACTGATTGCTGAATTTATTCTTAGGAAATATTACTAGTCCATGTAGCTACTATATATTAATTATTATAAACTTTGTATAGATAATTCCATTACATATAAATTGTCCAAGTCTTAGACTAAAACTGGATCTAGCCACACCTAGGCTCCCTAAGGAGTTTCAAAAGCATGGGCTCCATGCTGAGCCTCCCGATTCAACAAGAGAGTCTTCCTTATATAGTGTGTTCCCAGTCCTGTGCAAATCATTCTAACCCAATTCTAAATCAGTTTTCCTTTAAGTGTCTTCCACGTAAGTAATAGAGTAAACCTTGCCATCAAATTTTGTTAAGTCATGCTTTCATGACATTAGGTTAAAAACACTTCTGCTAATACCTTTGATGGTGATTCTTGAAGCAGTTTAAATCACTCATCCATGGCGCTGGAGCATCCCCTGCTCCCTTCTAAACACAGGAGTCATTATGTGCCTCCTGTAAAACAAAGTGCTAGAGGGCCTGAGTGCTAAACCAGCAGCAGTTTCCATCAGGCTTTTGAGAACACCTGCCTCTTTTGACTTACTCTACTAGTAATTTCCTGGGGAAGACACTGCTTCTGTTACAGTAAATAAATACTACTTAAGTTTATGAACAGGACTGAATGACACAACTGTGAGACAGATGTTGTGACTTACAAGGTACTGTCTACTCTTATGCTTGTTCACAGGCCACCAACCTTTAAGGCAGCAGAACGTGCATTAGCTTTTCTGTTGGACAGTGCAGTTGTATCTCTGTTTTCAGCTTCCACCCACATACCACAACTGTCTGTGTGGATGCAGCTAGTTTTTGACAAGCACCAAAGAAAAATGAGATCTATTCAACTGTGCCAAGCTACTAACTCCTCTACCCTGCTGTTGTAAAGACAATCTGTGTTGTAAGTCTCCTGGTTCCACAGACAGGAGATACTTTCTTCCTGCAGAGTTCTCAGTGACATTTGCCTCAAACCATTCAATTTCTGCATAGATGATTTGCAACCCTTTCTTCAATCCACGCTCCCCATCCCTGGTGCTCAGGGAGCCAAGCAGATAAACACCCCGCCTGCCTCTGGAACTTGCCTTGCAGCCGCCTGGCCAGCTCCCGCGTGAAGAGCACGTTCGCCAATTTGCTGTGACAGTAGGCGAGGCCACGATTGTAGCATTTCTCACCATGGAGATCATGGAAGCGGATTCTGCCTCCGTGATGGGCCAGCGAGGACACGTTCACGATGCGGGCTGGGGCACACTGCTTCAGACGCTCCAGCAAGAGGAAAGTCAAGAGAAAATGACCTAGGGGGGACATGAAACGTCATCCTTCTAGGAAGGATGCTTATATGTGGTATCTTACTGCTGCCCTCATTTCATGACCAGGAAAAAGAAAATTTCTATTAAATTCCCCTGAATTAAATCTATACTTTTTTGGGGCCTTCGAGTTCTGCTTCTCATCTTCAAAAAGCTGGAGCTGTCATACATTTAAAAATGTCCCAGGTAAAACATACAGATACTTAAACTGGATCCACGATACGCAAATACATTGCATCTCCAGAACTCTGACTCTGGCCCTCCATCCTTCCTGTAAAATGAAGAATGAGGAAAAAAAATTGGAAAGCAGGATTTTCCTTTGGCATTTTGCAACAGATGTTGATGTTAGGAGAAGATGATCTTTAAGGGCAATTCCAACCCAAACCATTTGATGATTCTGTGATTCCATATTGAGTGCAAACATATTTCCACTGGCCTTACCAAGATGATTGACTCCTAGATGCATCTCGAAGCCATCAGCAGTCTTGGAGTAAGGGCATAACATTACTCCAGCATTATTAATGAGAATATGGAGTTCCTTCTCCTCTGTAAGAAAAAACAGACATCCTTAAACAAGGAAACAGAATGCAGATAAGAAGGTAGCACAAGTCACCCCTTGCTGTCTGACTTGCAGCCACATCACCTGAGAAAAAGGATACCTCTCCTACCACAAACTCAGTGCCTCTGACCAGCCCCTGCTGTGAACCACAGTACCCAAGAGGTACAGAGACAAGCAAGGCAGGGATTTGGCAATGGTTAGAAGAGCAGACAGCAGTCCTTGGTAAAATATCCTCACTAAAAACAAGAGTCTAGAGACTGTACCTGCTAGAAATGTCTCAGCAAACTCCCGGATGGACTTTGTATCAGCCAAGTCCAGCTTTTTCACAATGACTTGCTGGTTCCCTGTTTCAGCTCGGATTTCACTGGCTGCAGCTTCTGCCTTTGCAATGTCTCTGCAGGCAATAATTACTCTTGCACCTGCACGGAGGGGAGTGGGGAACAACAGGAAACTGAGATCACTGGAGCACACTGGATGATCAAGGCTACAACAAGCAGACTGACCATGCACAGCAATTACAAACAATATATTACTTCTTTAGGGAACTAGCATCAGTCAGGGGGGTGGCTGGAAGGGACAAAGCCTTTCTCTCTCAATTGTGAGCTACAATCCAGTTGAAAGATACTTCCAGAACGGGCAAATACACATCTTATGTGCCTCTCCAGGTTCTCCCATGTTAGGAGTGCATACAACACTGGTATGATAGGGTAGTATCTGCCTCTATAATGGGAACGTCAAGCCAGGAGCACATAAAGGTGATGGATTCCAGCCAGATAATTTCTAAATGGATTGTGAACAGGTACTTTAATCTTCTTACCAGTTAGCCAAATACCATTTACATCAAATTAGCTTGAAACATGAATAACTAAAGCACACAGTGGTGGACCTGTGGTATTTCCCAGCTTCTTATAAGCAGAATCCAGGAACTTACACAGTTGCAGTGCAAAGCATATTTTTAGAGTCCAAGCAACGAAAACAGTTGAGGAACTAGGAACTTGAACATCAGTGGTTACAGCCTCTGAAGGAACAGCACTTGGGTTCATCTGCAGTAACTCTAGAATCCAGTTTACTTCAATATCAGCCTACAATACGTCTTCCTTAGGTCCAGAAAAGGGACACAAGGCACAGCTACCCCAGCTGCACAGGGATGTCTGCAGACGAGACTGCACTTGCCTCTTTGCGCGAGGTCTCTGGCGGTCTCTTTCCCGATGCCTGTGTTGGCTCCCGTGATTATCACCACCTTCCCTTCCAGCCTTGCTGTCGACTTACACCGTCCTCCAGCGACATACCGCCTGCAAGAGGGGAGACACCAGTCACCTCTGCCTGCTTAGGGGGCTCAGGCCGGGGCTGAGCGCCCAGAACCTGGGGATTCACATCGACACTCGGGCCACCGCTGCTTTCTGGGCCCCAGGGAGTCACGGGCGCCCTCATCTGAAGTGGCTGGTCGCGACCGTGTCGCGACCGGGACACCGGGAATTCGCCCCCAATCCCCCGCGCTTTCCTGAGCGCGGCCCCGCCTCCTGGCCCCGCCCTGTCCGTGCGTCAAGTGGAGCCACGGCTCCCATTGGCTGCTGCCGCGCGCCCCGGGGCCTTTTGGCCAATGGGCTGCACCGCCGCGCCCTGAGGAGAACGCGGGCCCCGCCCCCTGCCGCTCCTCCGCGAGCGCCCCGGTGCCGGGACAGAGCCCGGGAAACGCGCCGGGCGGTGCCAGGGCTGAGCGAGCCCCGGCAGCGCCTCAGTGTCACCGGGGCGCTGGAGCTGGGGCGGCCTGAGTAGCTCCCGACCCCGGCGCGGGCTGTAGAACGGGATTCCCGCTATTCGCACTCCCGCCGCACACACACGCGCGAACTGAGACGCGAAGGGCACCGGCTCCGCGCCCCAACGGGCGCTGCTCTGCGGGGATGAACATACGCGAAGGGCAGGGGCTGCCCTCGGTAAGACGCACCTGATGTAGGGCGCTGCCACGAAAAGAAGGACGGGGACGGAGACGGCGGCGCCCAGCGCGGCTTCCCAGCAGTTGAGCATCGCTGCCGCCAGCAACCCGCGCACCGCCAGCGCACGGCTCCCCGTAGCCGCCGCCCCGCCCCTCTGGATCCGCCTCCGCCCGCACAGGCCCCGCCCCGCGGCCGCGCCTCTCCCGCCTCGGCCTCGCCCACAACCATACAACCACACCTCCACTACCGGGCCGCGCCCCCGCCGGAGGAACCCGCGGGCAGGGAGCGGTGGGCCGGCTTCACGCCGCCAGCCCGCTGCTTTTTACCCCGGGCACCGCACGACTCCGACCGGGGTCCCTCGAAACATTCTGAAACGCACTCCTCAATTAAGGAGCCGAGAAATGTCTGCAGAGACAGCGCAGCGCAGTCGGCACTGCACTGTCGGCAGTGGCGTTTGAAGCACATTTTTACAACCCCACGCTGAGGTTCATGTCATTAACCCTGGCAAGGGGCATGCAACGATGTATACGTAGGCAGGCGCCGAGGCCTGGGAGCAGCGCGTTGGCGGCTGCGGCAGCTCGTCCCGCCGGTACCGGGGAGCCCCGGGGCCGCACCGGCGCCGGCGGACGAGCGCCCCCGCGCGCTGCGGACACGGCCGCCTGCCCGGGACTACAACTCCCAGCAGGCAGCGCGTCAGGCGGCCCCGGCGGCGGAAGCGCCGGGTGGGGCAGGGCCGGGGGCGAGGGGGTGTGGGGCCATGGCGGGCCGCGGGTCCGCGTCCTCGGAGCACCTGGAGCGGCTGCATGAGATCTTCCGCGGGCTGCACGGAGACCTGCGCGGCGTCCCCGAGCGGCTGCGGGGCAGCGCTGCCGGTGAGGCGGGGAGGGGGCGTGGACGTCCCTCGGGGCCGGAGCAGGGCACGGGCAGGGCCGGGATCCCTCCGGCCGGAGCTGCCCCGCCGGCTACGGGGCCGTGGCCGGAGTGTTCGGGTGCTTCTCATTAGACAGGCATGTTTGAGCAGCTGGGAAAGGCAGTGTCCCCTCAACACTTTTGCGGGGGGCTTTGCAGTTGTAGGGATTCGGGACGTCGTTTGTGTTAGGAGCCTGCTGGAAGGAGGCGGGTGGCTCTGCCGTGTGTCATTTTCAGCTGCTGCCATGTCCTGGTGGCTTTGCAGGTGTGTGGCTTCACTCCCCTGGAGCTCCTGTGCTCTGACAAATTTCAGCTCCATTGGCAAGCACTGCCGTGCTATGTTCACCGCATCAGTCTCCGAGGAGAGTTGTTATTTGGGTGGTATTTCATGCTGTTCTATTTGAACTGGAGTTTAGCCTGGAGAACAGAATGCTCGGGGTGATCTTCTTACTCTTCACAACCACCTAAAGGCGGCCGTAGCCAGGTGGGGGCCGGCCTCTCCTCCCAGACAACCAGCGCCAGGACAAGAGGACACAGGTTTAAGCTGCACCAGGGGAGGTTAAAGTCGGACATTAGGAAGAATTTCTTCACAGAGAAGGTGATTAGACATTGGAATGAGCTGCCCAGGGAGGTGCTGGAGTCACCCTCCCTGGAAGTGTTTAAGGAAAGGCTGAATGTGGCACTCAGTGCTATGGTCTAGTTTGATAAGGTGGTGCTAGGTTAGGTTGGACTCGATGACTGCAGAGGTCTTTTCCAGCCTAATTGATTCTGTGATTCCGTAATAACCGCAGTGCTGTGCGGATTTGGGGTTCCCCCCCACCCCCTTTTTAATTTGCGTGTGTTAGATTCACATTTAAAACCTCTTTGGCAGAAATAGAAGCAGTTTTTATTGTCAGAACTGCCCAGAAGCATCTGTAGATTTGTTGGAGAATGGTTGCATTTTAAATAACTGTTTTAAAAGTCTGATTTGTGCACTATGTACTCACAAAATAGAGAAAACCTATCATTCTAGCCACACTAAATTGTATTAGAAGCACAGCCTGGCTTTAAGGGTATTCTTTATACCACACCAGTGAGTAAAATTCTCTGACAGAACACACCTCTGTAAGGATCTGTGCTTCTGATTTGGCCCTTGGTAACTGGCAGTGTTCTGAGAACCAGAAAGGGAAGTGATGTGACAGGGAGAATTTTGCCAGTGTCATTGAATGCCTCTTATTAACCCCTTCCTATGAGAAATGTAAACCACAGCTGTCGTGAGCTGCTGTAGCTCAGCTCAGGTTTTGTTCCCCAGTGATGGGCAGGTGGCTGTCAGCCACATTCTGCTGTAATGTTCATTCTCCCACAATTCATCGGTTTTGTGTAAAATCATAAAAATCAATTTGTTCAGAATGTATCAGTCTATGATAGATAACACAGAGCATGAAACGCTTAATGTTTCTTACTTGGCTTTCTGTTTAATAATGAGTTAAATTCAGGGTCACAGTCCTTGTCATCAGCATTTTCAGAAAGTTTGGTACAAGAAAGGTGTTGAAACCTGCAAATGACAACTTGCAAACCCGCCTTAATGTCACTAGTGGTCAAAAAGGATAAATAAAAAGCTTAAAAAAACAATACCCTTTCTGGTAGAAATCCTTATTTTCCTATAGAAATGAGCATGATCACTTTCTTGATGACCTAAAACTTTGTCAGGTCTCCTTGACACTGTGGCAGTCATGAGCAATGAATTCTGAGCCATGGGCTTAAATACAGTTTTGCAATACTTGGGATTTTTTTTAATAGATTGCAAATCAAATAATTGCAAGTTGAATTTGCAGACATGCTAAAGAATTTTAATACAACTGTTCTTTTTTTTTTTTTCTGCAAAAATCCTGGCACTATTTTTTGAAAGTGTTTCTAAGAGAGTTTAAGACTTAAAAATTAGTCTGTCTGGTAGAGTCATTCCATTCTTCAAACGTTCTTTGTTTGCTTCTTGTGCTTATGAGGAGGGGAATATATATATTTTTTTTTAGTTGTCTGATCCCAAAATATTCAGGAGTTGATAAAAGAGACCTTGGAATACTCTTTAAGACCATTCACATGCTCCAGAAGCAACACAGAATCTCTAGTCCTTGGGACATCTTTGAAGGGTGGAGGTTTGGAAATGCTGTTTCACTCTATATAAAACAAGATGACAAATTCCTAATTCTAGAAACACTCTTTTTTCGCCCTTCCAAATCTGTAGGAAGGGTAAACAGGCTGGATAAGTTTCAAATGCTGTATTTTCCTCTACATGAATTCAGTTAGCTGTACTTGCCAGCTGAATCTCTTTCTGACTGATTGGAAATAAATCAGTTAAATGTCGATGAGTTGTGGGTAATGCTGCCATGGGGCAGGCCCTGCTGCTGCATTTTAGGAGTTCTGCCTGTGTGCTTTGAGTTGTGGTTCAATGCAGAGCGATGCCAGGTGAATCTCTCAGTGTATTTTGGCATTTCTGGATACTGGCCAGGTCCAGTAGAACATTTTCAGGCCACGTTGCTGGATTTCTTGTTGGCCTGTAGACAAAAAGGTCTCAAGCCATTGCTGCTTGACTTACCTAAACCACTCCATGATTCTGTGCCTTTTGGAAGCTGGCATTTCTTTGGTTGCAAATTTGAAAGTGCAGCATCTTCTTAGTCTGCATGGGAGAGACAAAGCAGGGAAATGCTGCTTTTCCAGATTTGTCATGGGTTTCCATGGCTTTGAGAGAGCAGTGGGTTTAAGAGGGCACTGCTTGAATCAGATTAGTGAAATGACTTGTATGAGACAAATTACTGACTTCCAAAGGCTGTTTTTCCACAGTTCATGTCCGTAACCCAGCTACACAAACAATGGCATCAGCACAAATGTATATGGTGGCAAATAATGGAGGAAGTTGAGGAGCATTTATTTAGGAACCTTCTAAGTCAGCATTTCCTCCAGAATAAATTGGGATGTGAAATTGCATTTCCAGATACTAGCTGATGTATTTATTAACAGTAATGATGTAGCTTAGTCTGTAATAATTCTGTCTAGTACATGAGATCACAGTTGCTTCTTTAGATGATGGGTTTTAGTTCTGTCTTAAGTTCTCTACAGTTCAAATTCTGGGCATAATCTGAATTTGAGCTGAGAAGGAAAGCCAACAGCTTAGGAGTGTTGTGTACGTGAGAGGAGCTATATAACAATGTTTTGAGTACTTCAGATTTTTACTATCTTCTGTTGAAAACTCAGTGATCTTTTGCAGAGGACTGTGCTTACCAAAAGGTATTATCAAGTTTTTTTACTGTGATGATGCTTTTATAATGTTGTATGTAATTTTGTCTTCAATCACATTGCTGGAGTTTTACCAAGATGTCAATCTACATTTTCTGCTGCCTTGAATTTCTTTTAGGACTGAATAATACTCTTTTGAGAGAGGTGAATTAAGCTAGGTGCATAGTTATCAGATTTCTGATAGAATTTGATTTTGTTTGCAGTACTCTACAAAAGTCTTCTGGTGTTCAATGCTTTTGCAAAAGATTACAGAACATTTTTTTTGCTCAGTTGATATAAGGAAAGTTTCAGATTTAGACTTTCATTGATGGTGGATGTTAGAGAGATATGATGGTTTTTTTAACACATGAAAAATACATGCCTTAAGGTTTTGTTTAAAAATAGAGTAACAGCAGCAAAACATTATTTCTGCACATTATTTGGTCTCCAAAGCCCAAGGTACACAGATCTGGGTAAATGACTGTCTCAAACAACTAAAATGGGTAGTGTTGTTGGCTGATTCAAACAACTCATGTCATTCCTGAAGAAGGAAGCATTTGGCTTTAGTCTGTGAACCCGAGGTGATACTTTGGTGGAATCTTTTTTCTCAGAGAACTCTGGAATGCTTATGCTGCGTACTTAGGTACTTTATGACCAAGGGAATGCAGAGTGCCAGATCTGCCAGGACCTTCAGGGCTCACTTGAAAAGGTAGATTGACCTGATGTTCTGTTCAAATCCAAATTACAGTTTCAGCCTTCAGTAATCTGAAGTGTTTGCAAAAAAAGAAGAAAATTTTTCATGAGCTGTTTACCAATGTGTCTTCTTTGCTGTTCTTTCATGCTAAATGTTTTTCAACATGCAATTCTGTCAGTGGACATGGAAGGACAGTATGTCAGAAAAATACTTGAAAAATTAGTTCTTTTGTCTACCAGAGGCAGTGTTCAGCATTTGGAAGAACGATTTCTGCTCTCTTGCCCCACTCCCTTCTGAAAAGTTGTCGTAATAACGAACTGTTCCTATTTGAAATAAATTTTGACCTGGTGTTCTGCAGCCAGCCATCTGTGGCAGCTTCTTTGTTTTTAGTGGGTTGAGTTGGAGTTCTGTTGTCATTTCTCAATATCCTACTTTTCCTTTCCCAGAGGAGAAGAAAAAACTGGTTCGAGAATTCGATGAGAAGCAGCGTGAAGCCAATGAGACGGTGAGTGTGAGGCTTCTGGCCTTCCTGATGGTTGAAAGACTGCTGCATTAAAAAGGGCAGTACTTACAAATGTTACTTTTTAATGGATCCTATTCTGGCATGCAGGAGTTTCATTTTTTTACTATTTGATGATTGATCTTGATTGGAGTGTGTGTGTTTGTTAAGACTGTTGTGTATACTTATATACCTACGTAAATATAAACAAATATTCTTGCATGTGTTTCGAGGGGATTTTCAATGCTCAGTTTTGATACTGCCTTCACTTTGTTGAAAAAAGTAGAGTGGTGGAGGTGCAATTAAAATTGTACAGGAAGGACATAGACCTGTTGGAGTGAGTCCAGAGGAGGGCCATGAAGATTAGAGGGATAGAGCACCTCTGATATGAGAAAAGGCTGAGACAATTGAGATTGGTCAGCCTATAGAAGAGAAGGCTCTGGGTTGACCTTATTGCAGCCTCTCAGTACCTAAAGGGAGGTACAAGAGAGCTGGAGAGGGACTTTGTACAAGGACAGGTAGTGATAGGACAAGGGGTAATGACTGACAAAGGGTAGAGTTAGATTGGGCATTAGGAAGAAACATAACTGTGAGGTTGTTGAGACACCGGAACAGTTTTGCTGGGAAACTCTTGATGCCCCATCCCTGGAAGTGTTCAAGGACAGGTTAGATGGATCTCTGAGCAACCTGGTCTAGTGGAAGGTGTCCTTGCCCATGGCAGGGGTGTTGGAACAAGGTGGTCTTTAAGATTTCTTCCAACCCTAACCATCCTATAATTCTGTCTCTGTTGCACAGATGTGATAGAAACCTGATACCCATTCTATAAATGCTTAAACAAAGTGAGAAATGCAAATTTTGAAATGTAGAGTGATGTTTCAGGGAAAAAACACAAGCATTTAAGCTTGGGATTTTTTTTTTATTGAGGTGTTGTGTATCTGAAAATGCACATAGGCTCAAGAGCATTGGGTAGCATGGTGTACTCAATACTAGATGGGGCATGGGATTTGGAGTTATCCCCCTCAGCCAGTCCAACACAAACACGTGAATCCCTTCATCTGGGGCTGAGTTTTGAATACAGCTGCTGCTAAGAATAGATGTGGTGCTTTAAAGAATAAACATGCTTTCTTTTGTTAAAGCTGCGGGAAATGGAGGAAGAACTGAAGTACGCTCCTGTGCCTTTCCGTAACCAAATGATGAGCAAAATCCGAGCGTACAGAAGAGACCTGTCCATGTTCCAGAGAGAGATGAGAAGCACAGATTTGGGACTGGGCCGTGGAAGCCAAGGCGATACAAAATATGGGATCTTCGCCACAGAAAATGAACAGAGTGTGAGGATTAGATGTAAATTTGATTTAACTTTGCTGTGGTGGTGCAAAAGCAGTAATTGCAGATGCATTGTTTACAGTGTTTCTACTTTAAATCACTTCTGTGCTTTTATTACTCCCTGTATATCTCTCTCTACATGTAACATGAATATCACAGGGAAGAGAAAGAACACCTAGAACTCAGAGGAGAGCTTTTCTGTTCTAAAACAAAGATAGGAATGTCATCAAAATGGAACTCCTTGAAAGCCATGCAGTTAGCTTCAGTACAGAATGTTGTGCAAATTACTTTGTTTAATCATTCCCCTGCAGAAGGGAAAACACAGAAGTGATGCTACTTAATGAAAGAAAGGTTAACTCACCTAGTTCTAATCTCCAAAACTAGCAAAGTTTGTATCATGCATTGTATAGGTTCTTTGGTAAAATTATTTTTTAAGCGATCTTAGTGTGAATAATGTCAAGAAAATATAAGGATTTTTCCTCTAGTGCTTTTTTGCTATAGTTTTGCTGCTAAAATGCAAAAAGTACAATTTCTTGTTTACCAGATAGGCTTAGAGATATCTGAGCTAGTGAGACTGAATCTCCTAACTGTCTTCAAAGTGCTGTCATCTGTACAGAAAGTTCATGGAGGTGGGCTTTTCATTTTTCTGCCTCAGATGAAGACATTTTGAGGGAAGTTCTTTGCTTAGTATTTCCTCTGCTGCAGCTTAGGAAATTTTTGCGTTTGATTCCTCTTGACTGATTCCTCTGAAACCTGAGAGCGGGGTGATAGATTAGACTTTCTGGAGCTTAAGAAAACACTTTATTTTGAGCTACCTTCTGACCCCAAGGTCAGTAAACATTCCTTATCCTCTAGCCCAGGCTACTGGCATAAAAAGAGGATCTTTATTACTTAGCAGTCCATCTGTTAATGCTGTTTGTTCCTAATCATTTTGACTGTAAACTCTTCAAGATTCCCCTGGCAACCAACTGTGAAGCTGCAAATAAGGCTGACTTTAGATGTGAATGGAAGTAAAAGTTAGCATCTGGAAAAGAAAGGTACTATTTTCATGTAAATGGTCTTTGATGGAAAAGTAAATTGTTACAAAGACAGGTTTTTGGAACTGTTTTAACTCTTCAGTGCTGTATCATTTTTTGAGATTTAACTAGATTTGGCCATAATCTTCCAAGGTGAACAAGGCTTGGCAAGAATTAACTGGGCTGCATCAGTTAATATAAGAAGTATGTACAGCTAATACAAATGGATGGCCTATGGAGTCTTTTAATGCCAGAAGCTGAATACTTCTGTCTTTGTGCTTAGTAGTTAAGCTTCCATTATTTTTCAGACTCACCTGCAGTCACAGAGGGCGCTGCTTCTCCAGGGCACAGACAGTCTGAACCGAGCCAGTGAGAGCATCGAGCGCTCGCACCGAATCGCTGCTGAAACCGATCAGATTGGCACGGATATCATCGAGGAGCTCGGGGAGCAGCGGGAGCAGCTGGAACGCACCAAGAGCAGGGTAAGCAGGAAACCGGGCATTGCTTTGAAACAATCTGTTATTTTAGTGGGAACTGTATGCCAGCAGTTACTCTCGGGGATTTTCCTAGGCATAGTAATCCGGCTGGATATTTCTACAGACCAAATTCAGGCTGCCACATTTCTATTTGTTCTCATAAAAGAAAAATAGTTACTAAAAATAGTAGAAGGGTCCAAATGTCTGCTGCTGTGTCTGTGCAAGATGGGAGATTAGACCTGTAGATCCGCTAGAAAAAATAGCATAACTGAAAAAGTTACAGATAATTGTTAAGGACTTGCCTTGTGACTAGATTACTAGTAAAAATTAAAATTTTGGAAGCAGTTAGCAAGTTTTTGTAATGAAAATAAATTTCGTAAAAAAGTAATTACTTAATTACTAGCTTTCCAATATTTGCAGGGAGGGAGAAAATGTTGTCAGACAAAATGCCCATTCCCCATCCTTGGTTCAAGAAGTTCTGCTTCTGCTGTGAAAGCTTCAAAAACTAGTTGACTTGTTTTGTTTACACATGTATGCAAAACTGACAATTTGATTTTTGAACTAACCAACTGATGGGATTTTCTGTGTGTGCAAAGGGTCCCAAGAGTAAAGCTCCTAGGTGAGTGACTTCAGAGGACACCGAGTTTGGCAAATAAGCCTACTCAGCCAAAACAAAAAGCATACCTCTGCTCTTGGGAGTTCTCTCTACTCATTGCAACAGCCTGTAGTTTTTTCATTTAAGTAGTTCTGTAATTTCAATCAGAATTTGGTTTGTCCTCTTCCAAAATTTGGGTTAGAAAGCAGGAAAGGAAATTGATCTTTAGATTTGTAGGTATAGTTTTTGTCCTTTAGCTAATAAAAAATGTTACAGTCCTTCAGGCGTCACAGTCCCTCAACAAATTGTTCATAGAAGCATAGAATTGTTTAGGTTGGAAAAGGCCTCAAAGATTATTGAGTACAATCATTAACCCGTCACTGCTGTGTTCATCACTAAACTGTGTTTGTGACTTCTACTGTGAGCCTCTTAGGCAATGAATTGTGGAATTGTGTCAATCACACATTCCAACTGGAAGCAGACTTTCTTCTTACATGTTCTTTCGTAGTGAAGATCAGAACTCTACTAAGCTCCGAATAGACTTCACTGTTTTCTTCCCAGCTTTGTCCAGTCCATCTCAATGCAAAGAAACACACAAGCAGTTTTGCAGTTGAGGGCAATGTGTTAAACTGCAGAGGAATTGTGCAGGCAGGTGTCTGTGATATAAGTGACCTAGCTTACCTTTCACTTCCCTTGAATATTTGGAAGTGGAATAGTGAAATCTTACCTGGAAACCAGTGGCCATGCATCATGAATTGTGTCTGTGAAGCAGCACCTTTGTTGTTTATAACCTCACTTCATTACATGCTTCTTAATAACTGACTCAGTATGCTGGGCAGTTCATTTCTGGTCAATACAAAGCTGAAATGGATTATCCATTAGCAGCTCAGAGCTTGTATCCACTGGGTCACTTAGACCTGTCCGTGCAACACAGTTCTTTCTTTGATAGAACTTGAGCAGCATTTCAAACAGTTTGATATGCACTGGAGTGAACACATCAGTATCACTTTCTTCTGGTGTTAACAACTAGAACAGTGAAAGAAGCTAATACCAGCTTTCTGCTATTTGTATGTTAATTAAAAAGGCGGAAAGTGGTCTCAAATTGCATATGCTTGTATGTATCTAAGGGTAAGTATACACAAAAATTCCTTAGAAAAGAGGCAATGCTTCCAGCTGGTATTGTGGGTAGAAACCAATGTTGTGTCTCAATTTTGACACAAGTTCATCCTTGGTTCTATAATACATTGCAGCATTTCAACACCAGCTGTTCTCACATGCATCTTTCCAGAGCTGATGTGTGCTCGTTTAACTGACAAGTAACTTCTGTCTGTCTCTCTTCAGTTGGTGAATACAAGTGAGAACTTGAGCAAGAGTCGCAAGATTCTACGCGCGATGTCCCGCAGGTGAGTGCTGTGACTGACACCAGCACGGAGTATTGGTGCCTGCTGGATTTAGGGGAAAAAAATTAGTATCAGCTGAGACTGCAGGGAAGCTTTAGGGAATGTGTAAACAGAACATGTGCCCACATGCAGATACTGATTTGTGTGTTTTCCTCTCTGGTAATTGCTTAATGGAGTACAGGCTATTGAACAGCACTGAATGTGTGCTGTTCGGTCAGGATGCTGTGGGGTCTTTAACCATCCAAGCTGGGGTGAGAAGAGAAGCAAGTTACAGTGAATTGCTCATGGTGCCTTCAGATGCTATTCATTCAGGTTGGGAAAAATTGTGCCATAAATCACTGCAGCACTGGGCGAGATAGATGCCTGATGACACGGACAAATCTGTTTAGCCCACACCAGTGCCCTAGAGCAGCTAGTCCTAGGCTGACTCATGAGACAGTCTGAGCTGCTATACGATTTTGATGGCTAAAGCCTTGGCAGCAGTTTAGCTATATTGTTTAATTAGCCTTAAAAATCCAGTTAATAGATTGTATTCCCAGTAGATACTTATCTCTTCACAACCTTTCCTTTATGCCCATTGCTAAAGGAAGTTGTGATAACTGTCCGGTTTTCAGCAGTAGAACTGTACTAGCAGTACTTTATTATTTTGACTTTTTAGTTTTCCTCCAACCACATAGTTCAAGTAAAAGCACCACAATGAATGTTTGAGCACAGGACTTCAGGTATTGTTTTCCTCTTTGCTTAACTGAAGGAGCAGGCACATATAGAGCAATGATCCCTTCAGGGGAAGGAGAACAGAACTACTGCTGAAATAGGAGATTTAAACAGGATTTCCAGGCAAAAATGAATAGTGAACTATTGAGCTTGGCCTTTTCTGCTTGTTAAAAGTGAAAAAAAAAACCCTTGCATTTTTGTTTTTTAACAATAGAGTGACCACGAATAAGTTGTTACTGTCGATTATCATCATCCTGGAACTGGCCATCCTAGGAGGTGTGGTCTACTACAAGTTCTTTCGCAAGTGATGAACCTTCGTGACCAAGACAAGCTTTTCCACTGATGAGGAACAGGATGGGCTGTCTGCTCCCTTTGACTGTCTGCGGGTTGAACTGAGTCATGAGACAGCACATTCAACTGAAACTGTACTGACACTCGAAAGACAAAGAATGGGAGTAAAAAGAAACAGGCTTGAACTACTAGTAAGATGAATAAGAAGGTAATAAATATTTTATTGTCTCATTTTGTATATACTTAACTAAATGAATAAATCTTGGTATGTAATAAAGTAGCCACTGATCAATGGAAAAGCTAGTTTATTTAAAAATTGAGGAGTTAACAGTATTTGCCAAGTGTTGACAATCTATCCACTCAAGTGCCTCAGCAGAGCTCTGTAGTGTCCAATATATCCAACACTTTGGGTTCTTAAATCCTCACTTGCTCTTCACTGTCGGATTCATCTGGAGAGCTGGGTGTTGGGAGTTCATCAAAAGCGATGTGTGCTCCTTCCCTTGTCTGCCCAAAGCACGTTGCTATCACATCGACTGCAAGGCGAGCAGTGGCTTTCACTGCCTCTTGAGAAGCTCCGAGCAGTGGATTGACTTCAACCATGTCTACAGCTGAAAGCATTCCTGTGAAAATGATTTCCAGCTTTGTTACTCTGACAAAGGGTACAGTCTTTTGCAAGGTTTTGTTTGCAGCCTTTTATTCATTGTAGCATGTCTGGTATTTGGGTTTGTGACCTACTCTACCCCTTAGACAAGTACAATTGGCTCTCAAGTGAGGGATCAGAGTGTTGTTCTCAGATGTAAATTTGTGGTTTTAATTTTATTCTTTCCTACATCATCACTACCTCACTCATTCATGCTTTCAGCATTCAGGAAAAATGTTTGATGTTCCATATACATTTATAAGAGGAATGGTTTTCTCCCAATCCAAAAATGAGGGATTATAAAATAGTCTCACTTCACACTCTTTTGCCATCCTACTTATGAATCTATAGACCATTGTCTGGTTGGGATTTTTTTTAAACCATCTTTTACTGCAAATAATATTGTTTAAACATATTAAATAAAAACTTGATGGTAATAAGATGAAAAGTCCTTATATATTGAGTCAATTACAATATATTTTATGAAACTTGATTTGTTAGTCTTGAATCCTAGAATGGAACTTCAAATTATTTAAGATTGTTTGCACCTACTTTTGTATTCCAGATGCCCATTTTCACATCTCGCCTCGTGTGTTTAGGATTAGGGAATAGTATTACACATTCTTCATGTTAGTTGTTAAAATACTGTTTATTTTCTTTTGCTAAGCTGAAGTTGTTGATGGTTAAGCTACTTCCAACACCAAGGGAGTTGCCCAACCACAGGACTTCTTTTTCCCTTAGTGAAGACAGAACTGACTTTGCAGGCACCTTTGACTACACTTACTATCTGTTTACACAGGAAAAACATAACCAGTATGAGCTCTGGGTAGTTTGTCCTGTCCTTGCTTAGCCCCGAACTGCTGGTCAGCTCCTACCTGTGTTGTGTATTTCCTCTGTGATGTACATGCCTTCTCTGTAAGTTAATCCACCTAGAACAGGAGTCCCCGTTGCTGGAGCCAGTGAGGGATCAAAAGCATCAATGTCAAAACTCAGGTGAATTGGTCTCTGTCTCCTGGGACAGAATAAAACAGGAAAAGCAATCTTAGAGCCTTAAACTTTTTCTATGTGCATTTCTTACTGTCCAGGCTAATCAGCAAAGTAGCATCAAGCTCTTTGAACCATGTCTCATATACATTAAAAAAGCACCTACTCAGCGAGAATTTGGTTGAAGATAAGTACTTTACTTCAAAGCATCTTAACTGGTATTTGTCATTGTAGTGGAATGATATAGAGAAGTGTATGATACAATCCAGCCTTCTCTCCTTTTGTACAGAAAGCCAGGGTGAAAGCTGAAACACTGATGTGCATGGCAGCTAGGATGGAGGAAGCATCGAGCTCAAGGATTTCACTGAAAGTTCATCAAGATGAGCATTTTTCAGGTCAATGCTTAAGGCCTTCTCCAAACCCTGCCATGTATCCTAACTGCTGAAGTAGTAAAGGATGATCTCAAACCTAAATTGTTAGTTACTTACTATATCAGCTGCCAGCTGATGACAGCTTAATAAACTGGACACTGCTTGTCACTCACGTGAATTATTTAAGTGGTAGACTGTTGTACTTCCAACTTACTGCACATGCTCAGTAAGGAGAAACATCTGGATTACCATCTTCTTTATTTGGCACAGCTGCAGCTAGGAAGGGTGAGCACACCTTTAGAAAACAGCAGCATGCAGCACAGGTTCTAACCTGTGGGAGAGGTTACCCTTTCTAACTGACCCTTTCCAAACTCCTAGACTAGCATGATTTGGTCCCTGACCTGGTTCCCCAAACTTGAACAAGGGTCACAAAGGTGGCAGTAGTGAACTGCAGTAAGGGCATGGTTAAAGTGAACTTTATCAGCTGCACTGGCAGCCACCATCAGGACATTGTGTGGGAGCAGTTCAAGGAGGAAGCCATCAAATGCTTCCACCTCCCATACCAACAGCTCATTTCAAGTTACTGTCAAGTTGCTGTATGTATTTTTAAAAGTAAAATGTGTATCCTGCACTCTGAGTTGATTCAAACATCTTGTCCAACTGCAGAAAATACAGAATTAAGTAACAGAGCCAAATAGTATAAAACAGAGCCACAACTGTACTGAGTGTGTAACTTGTCTCAGCCATCTGCCAAACACTGTGAAATGGTTCCAGTGCTGAGACTTTCCCGTATGCTGGATACTGTCACTGTTCTGTACAGCCACTTTCCATCAACTGACCTTCACTTAACTTTCAGGAAAACAGATCTTCAACAAGAGTAGTTTAAATTAGATAATAGTTTGTTACCTGCCCATCAGTTGTTCAAAGGTTCTTTCCATAACTTTCTGAATTCCAAGGCGGTCGATATCCCTCATGGAAAAATACTGGATGTCAAAGTTCTTCAGAATATAGCTATGAAAATAGTTTTTAAAAATCAATCATTATTAGTTTAAGCTGAAATCTAGCAACCCTTATGGACATTATTTCAAGTTCATTATTTCAGCCTTTACAAAAATCGTTTAACTTACTACTCAGCTGGGTCCACATCCCTCAAGCCAATGTACACAATATCAGATGCTGAAAGGCAGGGCTTTAGCCAGGAAAAGCCAGGAAGTTGTGGTACCTGCAAGCAAAGGTTTAGTATTAGGTCAGTTTAATGATATATCTAAGAAAACGCTATTTAATGCTTCCCTGAAAACTTTGGATTGATTTATAACATCCTTTCCCTCTCTAAATAGAGAAACTTCTGCACTGGAAGGTTTGGCTGATGTAATAATTCCTTACTTTCATTCCTACGTTCAGCCCAGGTAAAGTAATATGACTTTATCTGACTTGAATGTTAATGAAGGTTTTAACTCTTCTACATTTTCCAGTTTGAAGAGGAGGAGGGCTAAAAAGCCCAAATCCAAATTTGCATCAGTGAGGGTAAGCAGGAATGCTAAAGTAGAAACCGAGATGTAGATACAGGGCACTTGATGGTGATGCTCTGTAACTTACCCAGTACATTATTCTTAGATGGAAGAATGAAAACCAAGGCAACTGTATCTTTTTAGGAGAACTACCAAAGTCATGAAAACTTAAAAAAAGAGTATTAAAGATGGATAAATCAAAGTGGGAAGTTGAAAAAAAAAGAAAAAATAAGGGGGGGGGGAAAGCAGGGCAAGAAGTTGGGCCTCCACAGTGGGTTACATCATGCTGACTTTTGATGCAGAATTGAAGAGAGTAGGTCTAGGACAGCAACTGAAAGATTTTGAGGTCATCATTTTTCAGCTTTGGTAATTAAGTAGTCATGGTATGGAATATTAAAACCATTCAGTTAGTAATACCTACTAATTTTAAGAGTGGTTTAAATTAACTCAGATTTCTCTTCTTCTCCCAGCTCTGAAAATGGCTACATTTTCACAGCTGTCAAGCAGCTCAATTACTAATTATATTCTAATTACAATATTGGATGTTTTTAAAGGTTAACACATCCATAGCTATAGATAATTACACTGGGTTAAATTAGCACAGATTATGAAAGTATTTGCTACTCTAAGACAATGACCTGAAACTTCTCCAGTTATAAATTAAGAAGAGGGATAAATGAATTAAGAGACCACTAGGAAAATTAATTCAGGTTTCAAAAAGGAATTCTGCAAAACCCATCACCACATCATAAACTGAGCATAGTAATGATAATCTTGTCAGATACTCTCTATTATTAATGATTCAGTAGATTTAATACTGCAATTACACCTCTTTGTTCATAAAGAAATTAAACTGAAGGTATTAACTGCCTTTGACAGGTTCTTTGCTTTGTTACAATGGAAAAGGAATTGCTGATAGTAAAGCCAGAGAGGTGCAGGCATTTTCCTGGGAATCTATTAATAGCAGTTTGTGAGTTTGGATGGTTCCAGGAGCTATGAAGCTGTCAGGAAAGGAGGATGAGTTTTTTTTTTTTTTTTTGGTCCCATTATCAACTCAACTGCTGTACTGGATGAGAGTAAGAGGGTGAGCCATATGCACTTATGCACACGTAATGGTTCTCTCCAGAGAGTCAGAGGGGTATTAGCCATACAAATCATTGTCAAAGGCACATTCTGCCACTGCTAAAGAGCTGTGTAAAAATCCATACTGTTGTAGAAGCCTCGTGGTACCAGCAGGACTCGTGTTGGTTTCCCCCCTTTAAACAGGAATACAGTAGGGTATGAAAAAACGATTGGGTTCACACACCTGTTTGTGCACCTGCACAGCCAAGCCTTGTGTGAGCTGCTTCTGCACAGGCATCCAAGACTGCTGGAGCCGAGGTGGGCTTGTGACAAGATCCCGTAACCAGCACCATCCCCGAGTACCTTGCCACTAAACATAGCCTTATTTTATCTTTCTACTGCTGCTTGCAAGAAAGGTCTGCTCCCCCACTGACATCAGAAAGCTTACAGGTATTCTTTTAACATGTCCAAAAAACCCAATAATTGTAAAAAATTACTGCTTTTCTATGCTGCTCAAGAACTGGACCCCAGCAGAACAGTATCTCCTCCTTCCTCAGCTGACACAGAGCTTTAGTTTTTGCATTACTTTGGGAATTGTAGGGATTAGATAAAGTATGTAAAACCGCCAAATTATTCTATTGACATGGAAATAATTCAGAAGAATTTGCAGGAGAAAAAGCAGAATAGCTTTACCAGAAGACTGCATATTAGCCATGCTGAACAGGAACTGATGC